ATTTTAACATGTTACTACATGTTACTGCTGTTTTTTATATAAAGTACATGCTTCCATTTTTATAGAAAACAGCAGTAACATGTAGTAACTTGTTGAAATTATGTAGTAAAATATAGTAAATTGATTGGAACATGTGCAGTAGCATGTACACTAACACGTGGTACCATACGAAGAATTTATTTAAAGAATTATATGGTAAAAATGTAGTACACTTATAGTAACATGAACAGTAACATGTAGTAACATGCAGTAACTTGTCCTATATGTAATATATAGAGATTAGTGAAATGGTCACAGCAATCAGTTAGGTCTATTACCTCCAACATTTCGGTTGATGAAAAAAAAATTGAATCCCCCTCATAAAATATACGACAATGCGTTAGTTATTAACTTTTAATTATTAACTTTCAAATATTATATACATCAGTCATTACGCAGAATTACGTTTTGTAAATACAGGCTAATTGTATGGAGCAGTGGATCATTTATTAAATCTTTCGTTAAAACCTTGGGTGTATGCTTGAAAGAGTCTTTATTACCTAACTCGAGCTATTATATTATTTGAAGAGATTTCCCGTTGAAGTAAAAGCAGACTGTGTATGATGTAAGTTTCTTGATTATCTCTCTGTAATACCATGAACTCTTATCAAGTAAACCATAAATATTCAATATAACATGTAGAATCTGCCATGCTTTAGAGCTTTAATGAGGATTTATACACCGCGTCTCCAAATATCCCCCCGCAATTTTTGTCTTTAAATTTAGACAATCATGGAAATAATATCCGTAGACTTTTTTAAAACGCATCTTGTCTGACTATTTTGTAAAGCCATTTTATTTTTAGTTAATACAAACGTCCATAATCGCTAGAAATAGTAACCCCCCCCTCCCCTACCACAATGTTGGTTCAAACCATGGTTATTGGACCTCAAACCAACATTGTAAACGGGGAGGGGGGGAAATTGAGAAATTTTTGAAAAGTCTACGAATTAATTTCCATGATTGTCTATAAAAGTATGGCACTTAGTCATTTTCGACCCAGAACAAAGGTTACTATATTATAAAACCTGATTCTCTTTTTGACTGAAATTACTTTATTTACCTTGTGCAAGGTTGCTGTGTAATCTTTTTGCCGGGGGGAGCTTTAGGGGGGTGTTGGCAAACTGTTTAGCGACGGGATACCTCAAAGTGTTTAATTTTGACCGTTTCAATATCGGTTAAGTAAGTTATGACATCAAGTTTGCCTTCGAGTTCCTTGAAATATATTTGAAGTTTACATATACATCTAACCGTATCAATTTATTTATATAATCGTTGCTGCTACAGCTAAATTATATCCAAAATTTCATTTCATTTATGCGGTTGAAGTTTGTGTGGTAATAATAATCTGCATAACAAGACATGCAATTTTTCTATGAATATATCTTATTAGGGAAAGTGTAATACTGTCCTATTTGTTGATGTCAACTGTAACAGCAGTGACGTACAGAGACCATAGCGACCCAAAGCGGGATCGAGGGAGGTGGGGGTGTTCCTCTACATCCTCTTCGCCTTACCAACCAACTCTATTTTACCAACTAATTTGCCAACAGGTCACGGTTTTTCCTACATAATCTCCATTTTGCCGACAAGATTTCTAAGAAGTGGGTGGGGGGGGGGGGTGTCACAATACAACATACCCCGTTCAGTAACCCTTGTGTAACAGAGTAGTGCTTATTTCATTGTAACAGTAAATCGTTATAATTATCATAGAAGGAAGAGTGTGAGATATGATATAAACAAATTTTAAATAGGGACTGCACATGTTACCACATGTTACTGTACATGTTACTGCACATGTTACTATGTATTTATTATATTTTACTATATAATTTGAACAAGTTACTGATGTTTTTTTTATAATTATTAAAGTATGTATACTTTATATAATGCACAGCAGTAACATATAGCAACATGTTGAAAATTTCAACATGTTACTACATGTTACTGCTGTTTTTTATATAAAGTACATGCTTCCATTTTTATAGAAAACAGCAGTAACATGTAGTAACTTGTTGAAATTATGTAGTAAAATATAATAAATTGATTGGAACATGTGCAGTAGCATGTACAGTAACACGTGGTACCATACGAAAAATCTATTTAAAGAATTATATGGTAAAAATGTAGTACACTTATAGTAACATGAACAGTAACATGTAGTAACATGCAGTAACTTGTCCTATATGTAATATATAGAGGTTAGTGAAATAGTCACTGCAATCAGTTAGGTCTATTACCTCCAACATTTCGGTTGACGGAAAAAAAATTGAATCCCCTCATAAAATATACGACAATGCGTTAGTTATTAACTTTTAATTATTAACTTTCAAACATTATATACATCAGTCATTACGCAGAATTACGTTTTGTAAATACAGGCTAATTGTATGGAGCAGTGGATCATTTATTAAATCTTTCGTTAAAACCTTGGGTGTATGCTTGAAAGAGTCTTTATTACCTAACTCGAGCTATTATATTATTTTAAGAGATTTCCCGTTGAAGTAAAAGCAGACTGTGTATGATGTAAGTTTCTTGATTATCTCTCTGTAATACCATGAACTCTTATCAAGTAAACCATAAATATTCAATATAACATGTAGAATCTGCCATGCTTTAGAGCTTTAATGAGGATTTATACACCGCGTCTCCAAATATCCCCCCGCAATTTTTGTCTTTAAATTTAGACAATCATGGAAATAATATCCGTAGACTTTTTTAAAACGCATCTTGTCTGACTATTTTGTAAAGCCATTTTATTTTTAGTTAATACAAACGTCCATGATCGCTAGAAATAGTAACTCCCCCCTCCCCTACCACAATGTTGGTTCAAACCATGGTTATTGGACTTCAAACCAACATTGTAAACGGGGAGGGGGGAAATTGAGAAATTTTTGAAAAGTCTACGAATTAATTTCCATGATTGTCTATAAAAGTATGGCACTTAGTCGTTTTCGACCCAGAACAAAGGTTACTATATTATGAAACCTGATTCTCTTTTTGACTGAAATTACTTTATTTACCTTGTGCAAGGTTGCTGTGTATTTTTTTTGCCGGGGGAGCTTCAGGGGGTTGTGGGCAAACTGTTTAGCGACGGGATACCTCAAAGTGTTTAATTTTGACCGTTTCAATATCGGTTAAGTAAGTTATGACATTAGTTTGCCTTCGAGTTCCTTGAAATATATTTGAAGTTTACATATACATCTAACCGTATCAATTTATTTATATAATCGTTGCTGCTACAGCTAAATTATATCCAAAATTTCATTTCATTTATGCGGTTGAAGTTTGTGTGGTAATAATAATCTGCATAACAAGACATGCAATTTTTCTATGAATATATCTTATTAGGGAAAGTGTAATACTGTCCTATTTGTTGATGTCAACTGTAACAGCAGTGACGTACAGAGATCATAGCGACCCAAAGCGGGATCGAGGGAGGTGGGGGTGTTCCTCTACAGCCTCTTCGCCTTACCAACCAACTCTATTTTACCAACTAATTTGCCAACAGGTCACGGTTTTTCCTACATAATCTCCATTTTGCCGACAAGATTTCTAAGAAGTGGGGGGGGGGGGGGGTGTCACACTCCAACATACCCCGTTCGGTAACCCTTTTGTAACAGAGTAGTGCTTATTTCGTTGTAACAGTAAATCGTTATAATTATCATAGAAGGAAGAGTGTGAGATATGATATAAACAAATTTTAAATAGGGACTGCACATGTTACCACATGTTACTGTACATGTTACTGCACATGTTACTATGTATTTATTATATTTAACTATATAATTTGAACAAGTTACTGATATTTTTTTATAATTATTAAAGTATGTATACTTTATATAATGTACAGCAGTAACATATAGCAACATGTTACTACATGTTACTGCTGTTTTTATATAAAGTACATGGTTCTATTTTTATAGAAAACAGCAGTAACATGTAGTAACTTGTTGAAATTATGTAGTAAAATATAACAAATTGATTGTAACATGTGCAGTAGCATATACAGTAACACGTGGTAACATACGAAGAATTTATTTAAAGAATTATATGGTAAAAATGTAGTACACTTATAGTAACATGAACAGTAACATGTAGTAACATGCAGTAACTTGTCCTATATGTAATATATAGAGGTTAGTGAAATAGTCACTGCAATCAGTTAGGTCTCTTACCTCCAACATTTCGGTTGACGGAAAAAAATTTGAATCTCCCTCATAAAATATACGACAATGCGTTAGTTATTAACTTTTAATTATTAACTTTCAAATATTATATACATCAGTCATTACGCAGAATTACGTTTTGTAAATGCAGGCTAATTGTATGGAGCAGTGGATCATTTATTAAATCTTTCGTTAAAACCTTGGGTGTATGCTTGAAAGAGTCTTTATTACCTAACGAGCTATTATATTATTTGAAGAGATTTCCCGTTGAAGTAAAAGCAGACTGTGTATGATGTAAGTTTCTTGATTATCTCTCTGTAATACCATGAACTCTTATCAAGTAAACCATAAATATTCAATATAACATGTAGAATCTGCCATGCTTTAGAGCTTTAATGAGGATTTATACACCGCTTCTCCAAATATCCCCGCGCGATTTTTGTCTTTAAATTTAGACAATCATGGAAATAATATCCGTAGACTTTTTAAAACACATCTTGCCTTACTATTTTGTAAAGCCATTTTATTTTTAGTTAATACAAACGTCCATGATCGCTAGAAATAGTAACTCCCCCCTCCCCTACCACAATGTTGGTTCAAACCATGGTTATTGGACTTCAAACCAACATTGTAAACGGGGAGGGGGGAAATTGAGAAATTTTTGAAAAGTCTACGAATTAATTTCCATGATTGTAGGTAGTGGAGGTAATCTAGGTAGTCAAGGTAATCTAGGTAGTGGAGGTAATCTAGGTAGTGGAGGTAATCTAGGTAGTCGAGGTAATCTAGGTAGTCGAGGTAATCTAGGTAGTGGAGGTAATCTAGGTAGTGGAGGTAATCTAGGTAGTGGAGGTAATCTAGGTAGTGGAGGTAATCTAGGTAGTCAAGGTAGTGGAGGTAATCTAGGTAGTGGAGGTAATCTAGGTAGTGGAGGTAGTGGAGGTAATCTAGGTAGTGGAGGTAATCTAGGTAGTGGAGGTAATCTAGGTAGTGGAGGTAATCTAGGTAGTGGAGGTAGTCAAGGTAATCTAGGTAGTGGAGGTAATCTAGGTAGTGGAGGTAATCTAGGTAGTGGAGGTAATCTAGGTAGTCGAGGTAATCTAGGTAGTCGAGGTAATCTAGGTAGTGGAGGTAATCTAGGTAGTGGAGGTAATCTAGGTAGTCAAGGTAATCTAGGTAGTCAAGGTAATCTAGGTAGTCAAGGTAATCTAGGTAGTAGTCAAGGTAATCTAGGTAGTCAAGGTAATCTAGGTAGTGGAGGTAATCTAGGTAGTGAAGGTAATCTAGGTAGTCAAGGTAATCTAGGTAGTGGAGGTAATCTAGGTAGTAGAGGTAATCTAGGTAGTCAAGGTAATCTAGGTAGTCAAGGTATCTAAGTAGTGGAGGTTATCTAGGTAATCTAGTTAGTCCAAGTAATCTTGAAAGTCAAGGTAATATAGGTAATCTAGGAAGTGAAAGGTAATCAAGATAGTCAAAGTAATATAGGTAGTTAATGTCAAAAAAGGTAGCCATCGCTCTGAGCTTTACTAAAAAAGGTTGCTGTTCCGCTACCGTCAGTAAAAGAAAGCCGATGCAAGCGCAAGGCTCTCCAGTTGATGAATAAAACTGCAGTATGAGATTTTGTCAAAGTAGAATAAAAAAGGTGCATTCGAATGCGTTGTTCCTTAGTGGATTATTTGGGAAGAACTAAATTAAACCTTGTATAAAATACCTAGAATAAACTAGTGAGTATATAGTATATGCCAAACTTTCCCTGGACCTAATGTTGCTACATCGCTTACTCGTTAATTATCTTTTTTATTAAAATGTACGTAGATATTGAAATATGATAAAATTTTATGGCAAGTTCACGGCAAAAGTTATAAAAGTAGATATTCAATTGTTTTTCATATTCAAGCTGCGCGCATTGAATTTTGAGTATTTGTGCATTGCATTTTGGGTCTATTCGTTGATTAAAGTTGAGAATTTTGCTAGCTATGTACATAAATTTTATTTACTGCCTTGCTCGCTCACCTGTGGTGGCAATAATCGTTACATGTCAATTTTTTCTTCACTATAATACCACTATAATAAATAACTGGACCTCCCCTTCTGAAGCAATATTTTCAGGTGCCCCTTTTTCGGTCAAAAATACCTCATGACCCACCCCCTTTCTTTGCCAGCCCACTCCCAGTCACAAATAATGAATGGTCCCATAGTTGACAATGTACGTATTTTTTTTAACTGAAAAATTAAAAACATTTATATATTCGTAGCTAGTTTTTCGGTCCAGTGATGTTTGTATCATATGATATGCAGAATTGCATGCTGTATAGACTAGCAATTGCTTTGGCACTCAAAATAATAATAATAATAATTACAATATTTAGTCAGGGGGTCCACTCACGAAAGTGATTTTCAGTGGAGCCCGGATAAAAAATAAAAAGAACAAAAATATAAAACTAACAAAAGTGAATATATGAAAAGTTATATAGCATAAAGTTCGCATCCTTATCGGTTCGGTACAGAGTCCTATGGCTATGACCTATGTAGCTAGATGTTTCATGAAATAAAAGAAGGAAAAAATCCACAAAAAGTAAAAAAAAATAATAACAATAATTTATCATTACTTAATAGGAGGATCCCAATGGTCACATGTGTGGGGGTGTACTCCCCCCGAAAATGTTTGAAATTTGAAACACGGAAATGCCATTTCCTGCATTCTGAGCATCCAAATTTGCTCTAAAATTTATGCTAACTATACTTGTATTTGAAATAAAAGAAGGAAAAAATGCACAAAAAGTAAAAAAGAATATTAACCGTAATTTATCATTATACTTATAAGAGGGGGATACCAATGGCCACGTGTGTGGAGGCATAATCTCCAGAAAATTTTTCAAATTTGAAACCTGGAAATGCTCTTTCCTGCATTCTGAGCAACCAAAAAATAAAACATTATTAACAATAATTTATCATTACTTAGTGGTAGAAAAACGTAACAATTTAGATCGATTTTGTTAAACAAGGACAAAGGATAAAGCCTAAAACTTACTTTCCGTTTATTTATTTGTTATTCTTCGCTGTTTTGTTGGTATAAATTTAGGAAAAAGGGACTTTTCCTGGGGGGGGGGAATGTGATTTCGTGGGGAGCACAAGGGGGGACTGGGGGGGGGGAAATGCCCCCCCCCCAGCTTGTATGTTAAAAAAGGCCCTGACACTAGGCCTAAGGTTTGGGTACGCGTTCTATACCTTGGTGAACAAGGTAAAACTTTAGTTAAAAATTGCCGACAAAGAAAATACAAAGATGCCTAACTGTTCCTGTAAATTTCATAATTATTTATGACAACAAAAAGTTTTCTTATTTGAGGGTCCTGAAGGGGTAAAATGGGAACTGGGATTCATCTATTTTTAGACTGGGAAAATGGGATTTGGGTTGCTGGGACTGGGATTTGGCCACTGGGAATGGGAAATGAAGTCCTCAAAAATGGGAATGGGATTGAGGTAATGTGAGTCGATTCCCAATTTTTCTGCGTTTTGAGTATTTTAAAATACAATTTTGATCCGTTTTTGGTGTATTTGGTCATGATTTTTGTTGTTAACTATATTATTCACAGCACTACCTGCGAACAGGCATACTCTGGCACCCGGAATTCTGGGTTTTATGATTATGCGTGTCTCAGAATGCTGCAAATGCCATTTCCGGGATTCAAATTTAAAAATTTTCCGTGCCCCCCCCCTAATATTTCATAAAGTGTCCGCCACTTGCTTAAAAGGTCTTAAAACTGTTTATTCTACCGATAAATAAAGGGGTTTTTATTGACTGGGATTTCAATAACTGGGACTGGGATTTGTAATAAAAATCCAACTGGGACTGGGATTTTGCCAAAATTTCGGGTGGGAAATGGGATTGGGACCCCCCCTTCAGGACCCTCTTATTTCCTTTCAAACAAAGACAAAATTCCTAATCTTTCGAAATCTAGTGTAGTTTATGAGGTGACATGTCCTGGCTGTTCCGCAACGTATACTGCCTATTGGGAAAATAGAAAGACGTTTACAGACGCGCGACTCGCTGAGCGTACTTATATCCGAGTAATTGGACATAATTTTCACAACTGCGAACATGTGTAATACATTGTGAACCTACACTTTGCTTTTGACAAACTTAACAACTCAACTGACGCTAACGATAACGTTTCCACTTTTATTTCCAACTTAATAATTGACAATTCTTCTGACAATTCACACTATTTATTCCGCACATCTAATTTTCTTTTGTTGCTTGATGCTCTATAAATCAAGTACGTCCATTCAGCCAGTTTAAACACTGGACTCAAAGCCAGCAAAGAACTTAAGCTTTTTTCTTAATCTATACACCCACATTTCATCACACTTACATTTCACTGCACCTGTCGTGGGATTGAGACTTCCGTTATGTCATCATGCCTTGTCAGTATAAGACCTTGTATATATTGTAAATATAGTTAGTCTGATGATGATTTTGTAATAAAATCGAAATATTTACTCACTCACTTTTTTTACTTATATTTTGGGTTTCAAGATGTTTATCACTTCGGATTATGTTTTGTTCTATATTTTTTGAAATTGTCGGCTGGTATTGATTTTTTTCAGACTTCAGAGTTTAGCTTTTCAACAGGAACGTTTCAGAAGTAGCTTTTTAACGCGAAGTTGAAGACATTGGTTTTATAGTTAGGAAAAGTTCTGCTGAACCTATGCAATTTGAAGTTGCACTTATTGCGCTTGAAATGCAGCCGCTTTGTATCAAGACGTGCAAATCTATGAGCAAAGGACAACATATAAATTATTCATATCTTGTAATTATTCCATTCTTTTCAATGATTTATTGGTAACCTTGCCGTCCTAAATCGTAAGGGCCCTTATTTTGATCGTGCGGTTGCGTCAGGATAGTCCACGTACTGCTCCCGCAACATCCCACATGCTACTTTAGGGAGCCACCTTAAATTAATAAACTCTTTCCTGGGAGCCTCGCTCTCATGAATCATGAGCTAATCACATTGTGTATGTGTGACGTATTACCAAAAGGGTATATTAAAACTTGCTGCAGGCACTGCCACACAGCCACAGACCTGTAGCCTGTAGGACCGAGTGTGAGCACAGAATAAAGATCATTGTATTTTGGGAATATATAAAATGTCTGACGACATGAACAACGTTGATGAGATGTCTACTTCTGAAGATGAATCGTCTAAATCGGCAGATGAATTTAATACCGAGGTAAGCAAAAGCAATTTAATCGCAGAACTATCGGATATCGTTTCCTCGGCCACGAGGCACATGTTTTCGAACGCGCAGATTGTAATTTGCGTATTAATCTGTCGAGATGCCATAGGCATAGTGGCTAGTTTTGCGGCGTTGCGTAACGTGTTGGTATGACTCAGTGTATGCGCTTTGTCGATGCATTATTCATTTATTTGTATCACATTTTAACAGGACAGTGAAACGCAGAAGTTCTTTGTCAAGGACGGAAGTACGTATGTCAGGTTGAAAAACGAAGTGGCTCTTTTTTCGGACTTCACTCTGAAAGTTATAGGCGAAATCTGGCCAAAACATAAGGCGAAACAAGATAACGTAGAATACCACAGACGAGGGGAAGTGGGGCAGTGGTTGATGAGCTGTACTGGACGTTCTTTCTCCACGAAAGAAACAAGGTATGAACTATTTTATGATCGTTGACACTTGACAGCACTAAAAGGCTATATTAGCTAGAGGATCAATGTTGTGGTACGGTGCTTCAAGTTACAGTGTACCGGCAAATAATCTAGATTCTAGATTCTAGTTATAATCCATTTATAACGTCCCAGTTTTATCAAGACCGTTTAGCCTAAATCGTGGATATTAAAGTTGAAACTATAAAATAACATACTTTGATTATTAAGGTTTTTAGACCATTTCACCAGTATGCTTAACGCGCGCTGCCGCGCTCGATTATCAAGTTCCCCGCCCTCACATTTTGCATGCATAATGAGAAATCATTTCTGTAGCTAACGGCTTGCCAAAAAATCTACATCTTAAACGATTTGCAAAAAAATCTATATCTTCACGGGATGCTTTTGAAAGTTTGACGGTCTTTGGCTTTGTAGACTACGACATAGTTATTGGCTTTGCGGCACGAGATTAGAACGCTTCTGGTTTATATCGAAGCCGAAGCACTGCGGCAGAAGGCTTCCGAAACGTGATATTTCCCATCTCAAATGATCAAAGAACAAAACCGTGTTCGCGGTTTTTTCACAGGTATTGTATTTGCTTTGATATAAAGCAGATATTCACAGTTTAATTCACTCATGTTCATATGCCGGCGAAACGCAAATGTATAAAGATTAAAGGAGGGTATTAAGCTAAAGAGCGATCTAAATCGGTCAAACGAAAATGCAGCACAACTGCAGAAGATCTGTCATGTACCACGAGGAAGAGACAAGCGAATTGGAATGTCACGCATCCGACATCGAGTATCACATGTACCATGAAAAGTCTCTCAGTTTGCGTTCACCGTCCGTGTGCTCCAAAACCTACTTTGCAGAAAACTCAGTAACTGTTACAGAATTTTTAAGTTCCAAGTTGCCAAACAGCAGTGAAACGTCCTATTTCGCCTGCATGTAATTTCGACTACAAGACGTCATTGTCAACAAAGCCTGACATGGCATTTAGGGGCGGACCATTTTATTTTTGTTGGGGGGGGTGGGGGGGTTGGAAGATTTCGAAAAAAAATTTCTTGTAACCAAGGAGAAAGAAAAAAAATCATGAAGCATACAATCGAGAAAAAAATATCATACAAAAGAGAGCGCTCAAAAAAAAATCCCACATGCAAATCTACTGACGTTCTTCACTTCAGTATTGTGTCCATTTGAGCAGGCACATTTAAATTGTTTAATGAAAACCACTGACTATCATGCCATGTCCATGTACAGTATATTTAAAATAGTCAGTATTTAAAAAAACAACACGAGGTTAAATTGGCACCATTTGCATAAAAGATTACACTGCTGACCACCGACCGCTAAATATTTCATGTAATTGTTATTTATAAAAAAAATATACAAATGTGGCAGCTATTTTCTAATGTGGGTGCTGATGAGAAACCGGAATTTTTTTACTTGACCTAACAAAGCTTTTAAATACCTAATTTATATAGACAAATTACAGTTCCTGTGGATGCATTTGACAACAAACAGCATCTTATTACTACACTGAGGAACGTCTTTCCATGTGGGACGTTGACAATGACTTCCGTTGTCACCAACAGCCTTGTCAACCAGTATTGGGAACAATTAAGGACAAAATACTTAAAAAATGTTGGAAAAGATGGTCAGTGTGAATCGCGTATTTGTTACCTGACAGACCATCATGGTTCGCAGTCTGAGGGATACTGGTTACTTTCTTCACATGTAAGTGCATTCAATTCCATGTAATAAAATTCATAATTAAAATTCAGGGTAAATTTTAAGATTACAGTGAATGAAAACTGCAATCATTCAGAAAGATTTCATGGGGAATTTTGTGGTGAATGCCAGATGATTTTAGTCCTGTCAGTGGTACTGTACTGCCAATAAATCGGTTTAAAAATCTATTGACTATTGACATAATATACTCATTGATATGCATCTAATTGTCTTATACCATATTCTATAGATACATCTTGATCATGGTAAACTGCTAAGTCCATCTGAAATTAAATACTTTCCGGAATCAGACTTATCAGCATATTCAACGGATTTTAATCCAAAATTGCTTGGAAAGACGTATCTTCAAAATGTAATGAAAAGGTAACATAAATGTCATATTTAAATTGCTACTAACTGTCTTAAATTTACTCTAATTCAGCTAGCCAGTTCAAACAGATTTATATATAATGCACTGTAGAATATTAATTATGCATGTGCACAAATGCGCCCACTTTTTATGATACAAACAGTTTAACTATGTTTTGAGTTCTTGAAAAGCCTGATTGTTGTTTCTTGATCATTTATTATACTCTAGAAGCTTGAAAATATAAATAGTTGTCGAATAAAGCTCAATATTTTGGACACAAAAATGTAAACAAAGGCTTTGTTTACATACGGACTGTAGATCACCTTTAAAACATTTGCAGCCAATCTTTATCTGATATACAAACTTGAGCCAAAGGCAGTAGTTTGTATATCAGATAAAGATCGGATGCAAATGTTTTAATGTACGTGCTAAACCTTGACAGGATATAATTTATCACTTCAAATGACAATATTGTGCTACTTAAAGGGGCCCTAACAGTCATTTTTTAGTCAAGGAAGTATTGTTTACATTTTTTGTTATTGTCGCTACTTGACATGCGCACCACAGCATGCATGCGTTTTCCAGTGTGCAGAAGTGTACAAGTCATGGGTACTGCATGTAAGATACAGCCATACAAATCTCTGTGGAGTCCCCTACTTAAGGTGGCTTTTCGACTAAAAAATGACTGTAGGGCCCCTTTAACTGAATTCCACGAACTATAATTAACAATCACTTCAACTAATATGTTTTCCAGATATCTACAGCTAGCCACTTCTGTTTTCAAATCCAATGAAGTGGGATTTAAATCGGCGACATCATTTGTTGTTACAAGATTGCTACGCAATGATATGGCCATTTGGGGTATGTACTTTACTTAGCCCATGGAGCCGCAGTGCACCCCACTTATTATTTTTTTACTCATCAGTGGGTAGGTTCTGCATCTTAATGGGCTGAAAAAAACCTGACAATGTCTCTAGCTAACCCACTGAGCCACAATGCACACCAGTGTAGATGTGCCATACCGGTACTTATATTGTTTTACTTGTCTAACACCAGACAACTTTACTCGTCAATGGGGCAACGGGGAAGCTCTGCAGCCTTTAAGACTTTCAAATAAAAAACCTTCACAAGCCTGGAGAGAGACATGGAGCAATAATTCCTTTTATTTAGTCTTAGTTTTTATTAATTTAATTTGCAGAAGAAAGCAATATTGGTCTTGTGTACTGCCATGAAAAGAATGTTGGAAAGTCATTGACACTGGACCTTTTGGCAACGGCACAAGGTGTTCCAACAAGAAAGCACCCGCTTATATTGTCTGGTGGAAATCAAACCACCGCAGGGACATCAGAGTAAGTTGATTATGTAACAAGACAATTAAAACCAATACAAAGAATGCTTAATATGTTCTTAAATAATATAGAATTTGTAAATTCTGAACGCTGATTGGCTGAGAGCCGTGTTGTTTGTGCTACATTTTTTCATATTGATACAAGGTTACATAAACACTCGTGGAAATTGGGGAAACTTGTTTTCCACTCAATTTCCACTCATGTTGATATAACTGTATATCAACTGACAACATGGAAAATATTTTATATTTGTTAAATGTTATATATTACTTTATAGAGTTATTTAATTATTTAATTGCTGTGGTCTGTATATAAGTAAGAAAATGTATACAATTGCCACTACCTCATTGATAAAGTCCATTGATTTTAATAACAAAGCTTTATATCAAAACTAATGTAGGTAATAAATAGCAAATTAATTAAAGTTAATCAGAGGTGTAACTTAACATTTGCCCACATGCCAGAGGCAAGTGAATATCATGACGGACGTTTTATCTTGCATGTCTGATTGTGCACATGCAACCACTCAGGGTCGACATGTTGTCCCCTTAATTAATTTATACCCACTACCTAGCTGGTACCCCATTATAATATAACAATTAAACAAGCACTTCCTTGTTCTTGTATTTATTGATTAAGTGTCGGAATATATAGTATCATATTAATTTTTATATTTAAAACATTTCAAATTACTAGTAAAAAGATACTGGAATCGTTGGTGTCTACGACAATGGTTGTAATGATTGATGACCCAATAATTTCTGGGCCTTTTGGCGAGTTTTTGAACCAAGTTCAAGGTGGTTTGACCCAAGGCTCTTCGAACACTGGCATGTTGGCACCAAATGGGAGCATTTTATTGTCGTCAAACAACAAGGAAGTTGAAAGGTATATATATATATATATATATATATATATATATATATATATATATATATATATATATATATATATATATATATATATATATATATATATATATAAATGGCCCTATATTGTTATTCTTGTGTTAGTTTGTGCTAGTTATGTATTTATCTGTCCAATTTCTTAACCAAAAATCACTGTAAATGTCTGTATTGTTATTAATTCTAGAGTGAAGGGGCGTGTCATTCGCTTTGACTATGTGAAAGACCAGCTAAGGCATAATGAAATTGATTCTCTTGATGAACAAGAGTTAAAAGACCTTGTCCAAAATAACAAAGTAAGTAATTTAATGTAATAAATGACATATCGACCTTGGATAGACATATAGACATGTTATAGTTGATTTAGAAAATTGTACAGAATACTTTGACTAATGTATACCCCCCCTTTGGATAAAACGCTTCTAACTGCACATGGTCCACATGCCCGAAACTTGAAACGACGTAAAATTATTAGCCGTGCATATTAAGACAAAAAACCAAAACAACATTATAGCTTTTGCAAGTATTAAATAAGACTAGAGCCATATAAAAGAACCATTTATGCGATAACTCCGCTTATATAAGACGCGTCTTATGTAAGTCGCGACTTATTTTGTTCCCTATAAATGGCTCTATTATCTGTAGTTTACTCATTTTGCTCTCTGGCATCTCTGCATGGCGGATTTAAAAAAATTATATACTATATATGTTTATACCACTGGTAAGCATACTGTATGAAGTATACTAACTAGAAATGTCCATCTTGGAACGCCCTTTGCTGCCCGCGCTCCTTTGCCCAGCGGCTCCGCTCGTGTTCCCTGTCTTTTTAATATTAATTTAATGTCTTCTAAATGTCTTCTATCTTTTTCTATCTCAATAAATCTCAATACTAATCGTAATCGTAGCCAAATAAAGCCTCTGCGGAGGAAAGAGTAAATTTTGTAAAAATGAAAAATTCCTGAAATCGAATAGCAAAATATTTTTACGTGAAAGCATATTGTGAAGGGGTATAGGGGGCCCTCGAATAACAGTATGAAGCTCAATTCGCGTTTATTAATATTTTAATTAGAATGAGTCAATTTTACCGAAAAATTGATTTCTAAATTTCAAACTGCCCTTTCTCAAATTAAAAAAAATTCCCGATAGATTGACTCTTTAAAATCAAAAGAAAAAATCCTAACTGCTTAAAATAATCCCGAGATGTCAGTATCCCGGATTTTGTCCAGCTAAAAGGTAGCAAGTTTATTTTACTATAAGTTTATCTCTGTACTAATTGTTAGGGCTTGTTAGTGGCGTGGATATGCCATTTCAAGGATATGTGGGAGTCCCTAAAGGATCCTCACATTAAAGAAATCCAACAGGTGATATTTCATCATTTACCCGAACACCAGCCTAGATGGATAAAAGGTCTAGCATATGTCATCTATACCTATTGTTTGGTAAGTATAGCACTTGATATAGTGCATATACTTTGTAGTACTTTGCCTGAGCCTAGAGTCTTAATTCATTTTTGTCTAGACAGCTATACAGAATGTCCTGTACTGCTGTAGCGAAATGAAATTTGCGTCATGATTTTTGTATACATGTCCTGTATTAACAGATTCATTATTCTGCTGGAATACGACCAGATTTGGAAATGGTGTTCAAGTACTTCATCATAATTGAAGCAGACAAATTTACAAAAGCGCCATTATTAAAGAGACTGCAAATTGGACTGTACAGATTAATAAGAAACAATATGACAAAGGTGTTGTGTAATTAACTATCTTTGTTTGTTGGGCATTGCAACTGCAATTTCATATTTTCATGAAGGTGTAATATGCAATGGTAATTCCTGCAATAATTTGTCGTTATCTAATAGCGTATTAGGGCCGACTGTTCAAACTAGCTGGTTAGTTGAATCCTAACCTTTAAATATATTCATTTTCATATATAATCAGGTGCTGACGTTTATTAATCCAAACACTAGTGTGCGGATAAAGAAAGATGGCAAATTATTACCAGCCATAGGAGTAAAAATCACCATAATAGACGAAATTGAAGATGTTGAAAGATACGTAAGTACCGAATATGACGTTTCTCATGGACAAAATCGATATGTGAGGCTTCCCCTACTCGCTATCTATTTATGAATTAGTTAGCGAATAGCGTAGCCAATCAGAATGCAGCATTTGCATTAGAACTCGTGTTCCAAATTTTGTAAGTTCAGATATGGCATTTGTTCGTTCAAGGCATAATATGTTGGCTACTTATGTTCGTACAAGTAGAAATAACTACATGTCAACCGTAAGTAGCTGTTTTTAAATATGCAGGAAGTAAGAGATTACGTTGGTGGCGACGAACTTGGTTATAAACAAGTTGCGTTACTGGCCGCAAGTGAAGACGTCACTCTAAGTGACTTCAAAAAGAAAACTGGCGAGAATCAGACGACGAGTGCGAAGGTCTTCAAGATTCGAAAATCCGTTTTGGATGAGGGGTTCTTGGATTGGTTGAACTATGGTAAGTTGAAAATGTAATCGTGAAATAGTGGTAGTCCTAATTAGCCTTTCTCATGATGACGAATATCAAGCATTTTTGGGTGGCATCTAATAAAACAATGTGAAAAGTAATTTCTGAAAATAAACTAATCATTTACAAAGTAATATAAAGTTGCTCGGTTTATATGTGGACTTATCTCAGACTTCGGCTGAAATGGCACCCAAAAATGGCGGCGTGCCATTTAGATATAGGACATTGTTACATACAGCGATGTGAAGATACGTATTTTATCTTCGAATGGTAAAAACAATATTTTACGAAGGCAATATATAAGCCCCTACTTGAAACGTAAATGGCAATGGAAAACGATATGAGTTCCACACACTGAACTAGTTAAAAACGTCGCTATTTTTGGTAAATTGTGAACAGAATGCGAATAGATCTTTCCGGTAATTACATCACAACTATATGGAAGTGAGGCGAGGATCCACGCAATAAGGCACTCACGCCCATTGCTCGCGCCTCACTTGGCCACTTTCATGTAGTTGTAGGTCTATTGGCAAGGAATAGTCACGTGATCGATATCTTCACAAGTGAAGAAACGAAAAGTATCATACTGTGTGTATTTTCAGTATCTTACTGTATGCTATATAGTAATAATCATCCCACGTATTAATAACGTGTTACTTAAATTAGCGTAATTGTATAATATATTATTTTGACTTATCTTTAAGCAACGGCAAAAACAGGAGAAAAACCAAATGAGTACAATCCAATAACAGATGAAATAAGGAGTGCGGAAGAACAAAATCCTCTTTCTTCCGTTGATGTATCAGAAAACATGTTACATTTGGCAGTTCAAGGTAAAAATACATTGAAAGTTTGAGTATGTCTATAAATGATCTCTAATGCACAAGGGTGTATACAAAACCCTCTTCGTGTGTGATAGGAGAAAATTTGCCAAAACCATGCAAATATATTTTAATCGTTTAAATTAATTTGTTTAAATCTTTGAGGCAATCGGATGTACGATATACTTTTTCATACTGTAAGTTAGCTAGATGGATATCCACTTCACCGAGTTTCTAAATAACCTCATTTTAGGCTGTTGCGGTATATCGATATATCGATAATTATCGGTTTTTTATAAATACCGATAACTCGATATTGAAATTTTCGATATATCGGTATTATCGGTATTTTTTTTCCGGTATCGGTTTTCGTTTTTTTTCAAATACCACAACAGCCTACCTCATTTCATGTCATATATAATATCTTTCAGAATATTTTGAATCTAAAATCGAAACGTCCGAAGAAATTGCACAGTGTGTCAATATCTGTAGTGTAAGTTATCTTTTTATCTATTCTTAATTACTTGTATAATGTACATAAAAATATTACTCGGCTGTGATTGGTTGATTTCAGTGCAGTTAGTCCCAAACAGCAGTGGCAGTGCAATTTTCTGTAACCACAGTGCAAAAATCTGTAACAAACTGATCTTGATTGGTGGAAAAAATTGTGATGATAAAACCAACAATATGATATATGATATAATGCGATATAACAAAGCCAGAAAAACTTTGCCTGTGGAAAGTTCGTGAAATTTGGCTGATACACATACACTCGTGAGTTTTTCAAAAACCTTAGATAGCACTCGTCATTTGGACTCGTGCTATTTTGAGGTCTTTGAAAAACTCACTATAGCTCGTGCATGTTAATCCAAATCGCACTCGAAACCGTGCTATACCTATACTTATCACGATCCACCAAGTCGTGGCGCATGCTCAATGCAAAAATAACGCCTAATAAAATAATTTTATTCTCGTTTTTAGCAACTTACACCAAAGTCTAAGGCAAAGTACCTGGCTTTTAGTCCTGGAAAAAGAATGGCTTGCGAATGGGTTAGTCCATTTGATGCGCCCCTTACTTATAAGTATAGAATTATTAGAACAAATACGACATTTAAATGTGTGTTTGCGTAAACATTTCGCGCACACATTTCAGCAAAATTATCTGCATGTATCTTACCATTTTGAATTTTGCTGTCCCGGGCATGTTGCAGCAAAAATTTCAGAATGACATGTAAAAAACTTATTACAAGATCTTGTTTATGACCTTTTTCTGGCCTTTCAAACAATGCCGATGGTCAGTTTTAGGTATAAAGAATCGTTATTTGTTCCGCTATGTAACAAATGGTCAATGCCAATGGTATTATAGTTAAGAGCTGTACCCTGGCAGGCAAAAAGATAAAATTACTAACAAAAACGTCCCGTTCTGTATGTAGTAAATCATTAATTTACTTATTAATAATTTAAGCCCAGATTATTTTTCTACATTTTTTCCTATAGGGAATGAACTTGCAAAATCGCCTGAAGGTTTTCAAAATTCAGGAAGAGACCGGTACGTATGGATATTTCATTCCGCGTATAAACCAAAGGATCAGACCCAATCTCGGGTTGTGTTAATTAAATTTTTATCGAGTAACTTTTGCTGCCTCAAAACAGAGTTAGGGCTTTACAATCATGATACAATAGCACAAACAATGTATTTATAATCTTAATTTAGCAAAAAAAAAATAATTAGAGATCTGCGATGGAAGGCCTGATCAGTACTGTGCGCCGGTGTTTTGGCCTATTTTGCCGGAGCTGGAGTTTCAACTCCTGCACCACTTTATTTTCCCGCGCGTGCGTCACGCAACCGCTTAGCACATCGAAGCGCCTGGGACGAGGCTGGCACTTACACATTTTCTTCTTTTAGGTAAAGACACCAACGACGATAGACGCATCGAAACACAGCCAATAGGTGCTGGTAAGGGCAATGATACTGTACACTGTAGTTATATGCATCGCCTACACATGGTCCCTATAAACTGTGTATTGATTTTATTAGATAAAGAAACGAACGAAAATGAAAAAAGGCGTGAAACACCAACTGCAGGTGGTAATTATACCATTGTATATTAAATCATTGATTAAATCATTGACATTGCTGTTTAAATATTTGTCGTCCAACACAGTAAATTAACTCATAGCTCTAATTTATATTATATTTTTGCCATAGACATCATAAAATCTATTAAAAGGAAATTTGAATTACTACATAATGTCTACCTTGCTTGTGAAATCGTTTTAATTAGATTTGATTATAAACAAGATGGTGGATAACGGAGTCTTTTATCTCAAAATTAAGAAAGCTAGCTAAGATTTGTAAAAGAGCTTTACAAATACACTCCGTGCTCCTTCACTAATGTAAATACTAATCATTAACAGCTGAAAAAGTGAAGAAGCGTTCCCTCCAGTTTGACGACGAGGCAGTTGGCGAATGCTCATCTCCTACAGAAGGTATGCCAAAATGCGACTGGGGCTGTCTCTGCATGTGCATTGTAATGGTCTTTTTGAGATAAGAGAACACAATAATTGAATTTTAAGTCAACAATTGTATTTATAATTATTTAAAGGCGCCAAGAAGAAACCCGGTGTTTCAAACAGCATCACATTCGTCGAAGGTGCAGTTGGAGTTTGCTCTGGCATCGCAGGTACCACGAACAGTATTTTAAATATATCGCTTGGATTTTGGATTTTCAACAAATCAACAATTCACTTTTTCGACCCTAAAGACACGTGTAGCAACACGTGACCAAAAAATGTAAACAAATGCCAAAAGTTCGGACAAGCTTAATTGTTCGAACATACAATCAATTGACCTTTCCCCTTATAACCAAAATTTTGATCTAGGCAAGTCTAGAGAAATATTTCATCACAGCTTGAAAGAGCATCACAAAATTAGTAATATTCCAAAGTTTCGTTGCGAAATGTTGTAAAATGAGGAAAACAGAGCCTTGCGAAGTTTGCAATTTTCAGTCATTTTGCATTACAAACGGGAAATTGCAGTCCCAACACCCGAATCGTATGTCAATTTCCCGTTTGTAATACAAAATGACTGAAAAACGGCAAACTTCGCAAGGCTATATTATCCGCATTTTACAAGATTTTGCCACAAAACTTTGGAATATTACTAATTTTGTGATGCTCTTTCAAGCTGTGATGAAATTTTTGTCTAGATCGAAATTTTAGTTATAAGGGGAAAGGTCCATTGTATGTTCGAACAAAAGCTTGTCCGAACTTTTGGCATTCGTTTACATTTTTTGGTCACGTGTTGCAACACGTGTCTTTAGGGTCGACAAGGCGAATTGTGTTTCATAATTTCTTACAGGTATCAAGAGGAAAGTAAATGGTGCAGCACTTAGCTCCGGCTCCACAGGTAATACCACGACCATTGTTTTATTCTATCGACGATCTTTCCATTATTATTATTACGACATTATTATTATTATTATTACTACTACTATTATTATTACTACTACTATTATTATTATTACTACTACTATTATTATTATTACTACTACTATTACTACTATTATTATTTTTACTACTATTATTATTTTTACTACTATTATTATTTTTACTACTATTATTATTTTTACTACTACTATTATTTTTACTACTACTATTATTTTTACTACTATTATTATTTTTACTATTACTATAAGGGTTTCGGTGCGCTAGTTGTCAGAGCAAGCGCATTTCACCTCTGAGCTCGTGGATTCGATTCTCGCTATGGACTCACGTGAAAAGAGTCTGTCAACGCCCGGCCGACAGTCGCTTAGTCCTGGGCGCTCCGGTTTCCTCCCACAGGGAAAGTTGACAGGGTCGGTCAGAAAGTAATATCACAAATGTTGTAAATTAGATAAATAGTCTAGGTTAAGTAACATAAGTAAGCGTAATACTTTATGCAATCGGTCGCTGAAAAGCCCCAGTTGGAAGTGAGCTAAATAGTCACGTAATGAAATTATAATAGGGTAAATTTCTAATTAATGTTCTTCACATGCACATCTCCTGACGCCCTACGTACCCATTTTTATGTGAAACTTTACATGTTCTTGATTTTAAATATGGCAGGTACACGGAAATCAACAAAAGATAAACAGAGCAAGTGTTTCGTGTGCGACCTAAAGTTTTCTGAAGAAAACAAAGGAACCAAGCAGGAATGGTTGTTCTGTGACGAATGCAACGAATGGTTTCACTTGTATGTATTGAACTTCTACTAAAATTTAATTTCATCTTTTTCGTAAATAATTATACACGCCTTACCGAATACCAGGATAAAATATACCTATCCCGAAATAATAAAGAAACAGTATCTAAACATTTTCAGTAAAAAAGCCATCAACTTTAGGGTTAGGATTAACGTTTGGATTAGGGTTATTGTAGTTGTAGACCATTACAACCCAATACTTTATTGCATACAAAGGCATTACGACGCCAATAGACTATTGGTTACAAGTGCGGAATGGCTGGTTGACAAGTGTAAGATTGTGGGCCGCACAACATTGTTCAATCTTGTTACTGCGTTATATTGGCGTAAAGTAGACATCCAGAAACAAATGACGCCAAAGATAACAAAACACATTGTGTTAATCTACCCACGTTATTGTTACTTCTATGATTCGTTGAAGACTAAATGTCTAGAGGCAAAGCTGTATGACATTTCTATAGAGTCAAACAACAGGTGCTATTAAATAAAATTGTTTTCCCAATGCATTTTAGGGAATGTTCCGGGCAAACTACGTTGCCCGACGAAGATGAAGAGTGGTTCTGCACGACATGTTCATGATCAGATTAGTTTGTTGCGGTGACTCTTGTAAGACATGCATCTTAAAATTATATTTACTCGTCGATACCATGGATAATAAAATAAATGGATATAGGACTCTAGCTGACGTAAGCAAAAACAACCTAGTTACAATCTGTGACGTCACGCGTATTGCAAAGTTCTCGGCATTTTTGTTGTTTCGCTATACTTTCCGTTTTAAAAGAGTAATATTGAAGCATACACTGGTCTAATTGTTTTAAAAACATGCCTAAGCCACGACAAAGCTACGAAATTGGCGTTCCCAATTTTAACGAAATTTGGGACGCCTTTTTCACTGTTTAGTGCTTGAAATATTTGCTAAAATTGACTGGGAATACTTAGAGATTTCATCGTAGAATGGCGTAGTTATATTCATTTGCTCTAAAATGTTTAGCTGTATTATTGCTAAACATGCCGGTTTTGAGAATTTGGTTTACAACTAGGTTTCAACATCCAATCACGCCATCAGCCCATTGAAAACATTAGATCACGTCAGCTAGTTTCCTATCCATTTATTCTATTATCCATGGTTATACACAGGTGCGGGACGTGTTTTAAAACTAGAAGTTAAATTCCTTTTGATATGTTAATGCGGAAAATTTCGCGCGAAAACAAATTTGTGCGAAAATTTTCTCTCGCAGTGATTTCCACAGTAGAGAAAAAATTCGCCGAAACACAAGCATTTCATTGGTTTCGCTATTCTGTCATTCAAAACACAAGTATTTGATTGGCTTCGCTATCTCCATTTCGCAACGGAGTAGAAACGTATTTAACTACCCGGCAAAGAAAAATATTTCGCAGAGAAACACCCTGAAATGATGTGTGCGCAACTATTTCGCGCGAAATTTTTCGCATTTCGCTCGTCGTGGAATTAGGCCTTTTTGTTCTTATAGTGGCAATGTGGTATTAAACATTTGATCGTTTGTAACTATAGGAATTATAATCCATTTTTTCCAATTCCATTGAGTCACGTTTGTTTTGATTGAATATTGAATCTGTAATAAATATCTCTTACAATCTCCTGTCCTTTGTTCAGAGACTTTTTCAAGTCCCGAATTTGCCTCTGAACAATCTGTTCATTGTTATAGTAGTCCATCAGATAATTGTACAAGAAATGAACTGAGAATGACTGCATTGTAGAACTTCTCAATCTCAAAAAATTTTTGCGATGGTTTTCGCTCTCCTGATAACTGGTCTTCAATGATGTCGCTTGCTCGCACAATTCGATGTCGTGGTACGCACATAATGGCGATTTGTGAGGATCCGTCTT